GTGCTTCTTGGAAGACCCTGAGGCCACACACCACTTCACAGTGCTCAGGAAGGGACTGCCAGTGTCATGCCCCGCCCAGGCCTCTTCCAGAACTCCGTGACTCTGCAACCTGGTGGCCCTCACTGCTCTGGCTCCAGTGACTTGCCCCCCCGAAGGTGTCAACTCTGCAGTGACTTACGTCCTGAACAGCTCACATGTTGGACTAGAAATACCAAGACCACATCTGCAGGAGCGGACCTGTTTGCCTGCCTCCCTGGTACTCTGGAGCTGAAAAGCGCACAGGTTACCAAAGCAGCCCTTCTCCTTCCACCTGGCACAGCCAGGGCTTCTGGGATGGACCCTCTCTTCCCCACCACCCTCCCCCTGCTTGTGAGAAATGAAGATCAAAAACTGGAAGAAGGAAGGGCAGGGTCCTGGGAATTCAGAGCCTGCCTCATAAATCTCCAGGGTCCTCTTCTCCCCTTTACCCCTCCACTGCTGGGGGCAGGGGTCACTGACAGCACTGGCAGAGACTCCTGCAGGGCCCCAAAGCCAGAAGGCAGTTTCCAGCTCCCTCCTGAGAAAGAGCCTGCTGGGTAGCCCCTGCCTCCTGCCCCCAATCCAAACAAGGCCGAGGGGCTGAGGGGCTGTTGGGTAGGATTGGCTGGTGGAAATTCATTGTTAACCAAAACCTGAGGTGAATGGTGACAGAGCACAGAGAAAAGACCCACTTTGGTAGGACCACTGTGGCCTCAGATCCTGCACCTGGCCCTCAGGAACCCTGTCCTGCCAGGGCATCTGCAGCTGTCCACCCGTGTCTGACGTGCCATGGAGCAGACGTGGGTCCATGGAAGTGAAGGTTCTACGCCTTCGGTGCAGCTTGCTGCTGATGGAAAGCGGGTGCTAAGGCCCAGTGCCTCAGTGCCAGGTGAGGGGACAGGCTGGCTGGAGCCACCAGGGCTGCCCTCTCTCCGGAATGCTTTCTTACACCACATATTTGAAATGCTTTCCCAAACTTTGAGAAGCATTTGCTGCCCGCCTCTCTCTTGCGTGGCCTCAGCTCTCCAAGGCGTTTGCAGTGTTTGCTTTTTGACAGAGGCATGCAAGGAAAGGAGTGGAATGTTCCAGGGGAGTTTGGAAGGTTGGCAGCCACGACCCTCTTCGGGGATAGGCCCTGTGCCTGGGAAGACGCCACCCCTCCCCTCTCAACATCCCTGCTCTGCAGCAAAGGGAAGCAGAACTGTGTCTTGTATAGAGTGTGTTTTGCGGACACCACTTTGTGTGCTGTGGTTTTCCCAAATGTCTGGCTTGCGGGGAGCTTCAGCCCGGGGCTGTGAACACGTGAAGAGGTGGGATGCAGTGGGCAGGCTGAGAAGAGAGCTGGCATCCTGGGTCTTCAAGGGAATGGCGCTGGGACGCGGGCTTCCGCCTCCAGGCCTGGATGCAGCTGCCTCCCAGGAACCCCAGCCTCTCACCCTGGGCTGGGAGGTCATATGACCAGAGGGGCTCTTCGGCAGCACCTGGTTCTGCCCTCTGCCTTCCCTCTCCTGGTGGCCCTCTGGCTTTTTCTCACCTAGCTTCATGTTATCTCCGCGGACTTCCCAGGGCGGCCTTCCTTCCTTCCTTCCTTCCCTGGGGTCCTTTCTTTCTTGGTAGTGCGGGGGGTGGGGGGGGTGGGGGGTGGTGGTGGTGGTGAAATGAGCCCAGGGCACTCTGTCATTGAGTTACATCCTCAGGGCCTTGCTCCATTACCCAGCTGGTCTACAACTTGCAATCCTCCTGCTTCAGCCTCGCCGTTGCTGGGGTTACTGGTGGGCACCCCTGGGCCCAGGTCCCAATGGAGTCTTCCTAAGGCCTAAGGCCAAATGTGGATACACCAAACAGGCTAGCAGAGGGCTCACGTGACCTTGTTGTGAGGATTAAGGAACATAGAGTGCACTGTCAGTAAGGACCCATTCCCTTCAGCTCTGGGGTTTTCCTGGAGAACAGAACAGAAAAGATTCTGTGGTCTCAGTGGACCGTGCTACCTGCGGTGCTTGTGCCAGGTGGTGCACCTGCCTCTGCAGCTCACTCTGAGCCTTTCACTCCTGGGAACAAGGTGAGCTTGAGTGAGTGGTCATTCAGGATGCCCTGCCCTCTGCCTGGCTGAGCATCCTGTGGACCCAGCTGGGTCGCCATTACCTTCCCATCCTGGTCCCAGCCCATCGCCCCCACCACCACCAAGAGAAGGACAGCCTCAGAGGCCGTGGGAGGCGAGGGGAGGAGAGGGTCTGCTGGGCTTGTGGGGACTCTGGGTTTCTCCAGGCACCCTCTCCTTTATGGAAGTCTCTCCTCTAGAGAGTCCTTCTCAGCCCCTGATGGGGCCAGACCCCAGAGCACCACCTCGCGGGACCATCATGTGGGTTCAGATCCCTGTTCTGTCGTTCACCAGTCCTGGAGTGTTGTAGTCAGCCTCAGTTTGTCATCTGTAAAATGGGTGAATCCTTCACACCCATCATTCAGAGATGCTGAGAGTTCAGGAGGGAACTCCTACAGGCCCTGGGTGTCCACAAATTTGGCTGTTATAATAAATAAGATTGCTTTTCTGTCTTTGGAACACTTCCTCATGAAGGACCCAAGGCAAGTCAACTTACTAGGTCTCCGTTTCCTTGTCTGCAAACTGGGAGTGACAAAAATGTCTACCTCTTAAGAGTTGTTGTGGGGATGAAATGACTTCCTACAAGCAGCTGGAGTGACGCCAACAGCCGGGGGCGCTCACCTGATCTCCGTGACTGACACTGTTGTTATCATGTTTTTTAGGTTGTCAGAAAGGTGCCCGGGCTGGGTCTTGTGTTTTTCCACCCACTCTTCTCCAGCTCGCTGAACGTAGGGTGGAATCATACACATATCATTACTGTGAAATATATGTAACTACATATGATATATAGTTAACTGGCTTCACGTTTAGAAGAGGGATGTGGATGTTTGAAAAGATGACGCAGATGACCCTTAAGTGGGATGTCTTCTTTTTACTGTGGGCTGAGCAAGGAAGGGTGTATGGGGGCAGTGGGAGGAGCCCCCATCTCACCACTCTTTCTTTCCAAGGCTCTTTCCCTCCCCAGTGCCTGGGCTCCAACCAGCCTCCCTGAGGAGCTTACTTCCGCTCAGTCTAGGGACTGGGAATGGTGCGACTGCCCTCAATTTCTGCTAGCGAGTTGGAAGGTCAAGCCTTCCAGCAGCATCCGGGCAGGATGGCGGTCTCAGGGTTTCCACCAGGAAGGTGGCTCTCACCAACTGACTTGGTGATGACGTGCTTTGCAGGGATCTGAAGACTTAGGAATCTGTAAGGAATTTTCAGTGTCCCCACCTGGCTCTCTAGGACACCCACTCCTCTGTCCCGCCCACCCCCGTCGCTGTCTCACAGACTAGCTGTCCCCCAACTGGCCTCAGCTGGGTCCTCCGCCAACAGAGCTTCCGCACGAGGGCGCATCCGCTCCTGGACGCCAGGGCCTTAGGTCTTGCAGTCCCCGGAAATGTGGAAATGTGCCCCAGCGCCAAGTTCGTCCCAACAGCAGCCCCACCTGGGCTCAAGTTACAAACTCTTCACCTGGGAGCCCAGAATTTATGCCCGCGCTGGCCCTGGAGCCGGGCTGGGGCGCGACGCTGGAGTTCACTGCTGGAATCTGGATTCTCTCCGAGGCTTTGCAGACCTCTTCAAGCGCGCGGGGCTGGGCGTGCGACGGCAACCGCGAGTAGAACTGGGGGGGGGGGTGGTGTGATTCTTATTTATTTATTTGTTTGTTTGTTTGTTTATTTCCTCCTTGTTACTATCAGCGCTCCGCCCACCGGCCCTGCGTATCTCCGCCCTCATTCGGCCTGTGCCCAAATTGGGAGGTGTTTATTAGTGCACGGATTCAAGCTGGGATTTGCCTTAGAGTTTGGAAGACGCGCCCAGACGGCGCGCGTTTCCAGAGAATTGGGGATATGCGTGCTGGACTTCGGGAGCCGGGGGAGCTCTGGGAGGGGCTGCGAGGTGCAGAGGTGTGGGAGGGGGTTGCATCGCGACACCGTCTCTCGGTTGGGTCTGTTAGAGCCGGCAGCGCAGAGGTGGAACTCGAGTTGGCTTCCAACTTGGGCTTACCGGATGCTGCTGATCTGGAGAGGCCGGGTGACCCCAGGCTTGCAAATGTGCGAACACTAAGGCTCTTTTCTCACCCCAGGATTGAAAGGGGGTGCACTGGCGATAAGGAGGGATCCTGAGAGGACTACGTCCCGCCCCCTCTTGTCTAGAGGGCCACTCCCAGGACTTAGGCCTGCCGGCACGCTAGGCATACGTTAGTTTAGGTGCAGGTCCCGACTGGGGGACGCCAGCCCAGACCCTGGGACCTGCACCTAAACTGGGTTTTTCTGACGCTGGCTGAGACTTTCTTTTGGTGTTTCAAACTCACCGCATCCTCTGCCGCCTGCGTCCTCCACGGTATCCGGAAACCCCCGACCACGTGGGTTACCTTCCAGGTTCCTCCTAACGGAGTGGGATGCGCTCCTGCTCTTCGTGCAAAAGCTACCTGAGCTCTGGCAACCAGTCCCCAGCTTGATGTGTCTTCGTGACAGCGGGCGCGACAGACCTTACCCCCACATTAGTGCGCAGTGCCACGCCCCCTCCGGTGGTGCGTTTGGGTGGCCGTTTCTACGCCCACCTGCCGTCCCCACCCTCCCTTTTCTCTTTGGCACCGCTTGGCGGTTTACTCAATGAAACGCTAATTCAGTTATCCCCAGTGTTTTCTTTTTCCTTTAAAAGAATACTCAGCGGAGATCACAAACAGGACTTGGTCACGCTACGTGCCCCCACCCCTACCCCAACTTGGAGTGGGCAAGAGAGGACTCCTTTGGAATTGGTATCATTCAGGATTTTTGATTCAAAGTGTGACGTGGCTAAATGTAAAATGAGAAGAGGGGCTGCTTACACCCCAGGGTGGGGGGGGGCGTTGGGGGAGAGCAAGCAGGCTTCCCAAATGCTTAATGTAATCACGGGCCAGCTGCATGCACTTGTGAAGTTGTTATAACCCCCCTCCTTGTTATAAACAGGAAAGCACAGGATATAAAGCAAAAGACCCGCATCCACAAATACCAGCTCACCCGCCAGCTGCCAAGTTCCCCTTGATGGTGTTTCTTGCTTGCAACCTTAGCCCCCCAGAAAGACTCTAGTGTTGCCCCCAACTCGGCAAACAATGTTTTTGAAATCTTCTTCAACCAGAGCTATAGACCTGGTACCCTTGTGCCTTCTGCTCTCCTCTGCCTTCCTTCAAGGAGAGGTTGGCTCCTGGGGTCCACTCCTCTTTGGGGGCACTCAGCACCTGGAGAATGCCTGTCTCCCACAGAGTGTGCCCAGCATCTGTCTCGGGAGGGCTGCACCCCACATCAGACACCAAACCTCTCACAGGGGTACTACCTCTAAAAAAGGTTTTGGTCAAGGGCCTCAGAAAGTACTTTGTAGGGCCTTGCTCTCTCCGTCTCCTATTAGGCCTGGAAGAAGAGAGACCTTTTGTGGGAGACTCAAGGTCGTGGGGTGCCCCCAGGCCAACAGTAAAACCCACGCTGGTGCTCCCCCCCACCCTGCCTTCCTGGCCCTGCAGACCCGGCTTCGAGCCACCCGTCCACATCCTGCCTCACTGACTGTGTGCTTACAGCGTCAAGGGGTGGACGTGATATTTCAAACATCAGATCAGTGCGTTTATATATTGGGTGCCCGGAAATTTTTCCAAATAAACACAGCTTGATTCAACTTGGGTGGGCGGACTTATCAACAGACTAATTCTATAAACAAATGAAGGAATAGCCCCGAAACCGATTGGCTGGTATCAAAAAGACACGTGGAGAGAAAAGCTTGGAGTTTTTCAGCAATGAAATTTTAATTAATGTGGGTGGGCTGAGAACACAACGACTGTTTATCATAGACAATTTATTTTCCAGCGCTAAGTCAACATATAATAGCAAACTTACAACAATTATTTAACATTTTTAAAGCCATGAAGAAAGGACAGAGCGCGGAGCAGCCAGGGAGAGCGGCAGAGCGGAGGGCAGACTCGAGGCAGGCTCCCCAGGAGGGCCCTTGTGGCGCGCGGCGCAATCCTTGAGCCTCCGGGGTCGCCTGCCTACCGGAGCGCAGCGCCGGCTGTGGCTCGCCATGAGTCACGTCTTCGGTCCCCGGCTGCCGGCTCTGGCCGCCTCGCCCATGCTCTATCTGTACGGCCCCGAGAGACCCGGGCTGCCTCTGGCCTTCGCCCCCGCGGCTGCTCTGGCCGCCTCGGGCCGAGCGGAGCCCCCGCAGAAGCCACCCTACAGCTACATCGCGCTCATAGCCATGGCGATCCAGGACGCGCCCGAGCAGAGGGTCACACTCAACGGCATCTACCAGTTCATCATGGACCGCTTCCCCTTCTACCACGACAACCGGCAGGGCTGGCAGAACAGCATCCGCCACAACCTCTCGCTCAACGACTGCTTTGTCAAGGTGCCCCGCGAGAAAGGGCGGCCCGGCAAGGGCAGCTACTGGACGCTGGACCCTCGCTGCTTGGATATGTTCGAGAATGGCAACTACCGGCGCCGGAAGAGGAAGCCCAAACCCGGCGCCGGGGCCCCGGAGGCCAAGCGGGCTCGCGCAGAGCTGCAGGAGCGCGGCTCAGAGGCGCGGCCCCAGGCGGCCAGCGGGGCAGCGCGCCCCAGTCCCGGAACCCCCAGCCGTGAGGGAGCGCCCACGCGCCCCTCGCCCCTCGGGGAAGGCTCCTCTCCGCAGGCGTCCCTCCACTGGCTGGGCCCTGGGTCGCCGGACCAGGACGCAGGCAATGCTGTCCAGGGCACCATGGCGGTGGCGGTGGCGGTGGGCCAGCCAGCGCGCACGGGGGATGGCCCGGGGTCCCCTCCGCGGCCCGCCTCCCGCAGCTCTCCGAAGAGCTCCAAGTCCAATAGCTTCAGCATCGACAGCATCCTGGCGGAGAGGCAGGGCCAGACACCCGCTGGAGGGGGCGAGGTCCCGGGGGACGCCAAGCCAGGGCCGGCCGGCGGCCTGGGCGCCTCACTTCTGGCCGCCTCCTCCAGTCTCCGTCCACCTTTCAACGCCTCCCTGATGCTCGACCCGCACGTCCAGGGCGGCTTTTACCAGCTGGGGATCCCTTTCCTCTCCTATTTCCCCCTGCAGCTCCCCGACGCGGTGCTTCGCTTCCAGTAAAGCAAACAGTGGCGCGTTCTTTCCTCTGCCCTGGCGGAGCCTCCTCTGAGCCACCGGCCAAGGTCCCACCGTCCCGCCCCCCGGAAAAGAGGCACATTCTTTTAAAAAGGATCTTTGCTTGGGTAGACATTAGGGTTCTGGTCAGCCTCGCCAACTTCTGTGCGCAGGTGAGCGCGTTTGCCCCCCTCCTCAGGAGTGGATTTACCCAGCAATGGGAACTGGCTTTGGAGAGCTAAAAGAACCACCCTGTGGGGATTTGAACAGACCCTTTCCAGGAGAATTCCTTGACCTAATGACTTGATCCTCTGCTGCCACCACAGGCCCTGGGCTACTAGGCAGGAGAACCCTGCTGACCACCTGAACACAGGACTAACAGTCACAGTGGTCTTTGGATCTACATACTATGGTTGCAGGCTCCCATGTCTTGTGTGGCCTGGGCTTTGACTTTGAGTACCCTGTGTTGGGGGGGGGGCAGTTCTCAGTTGGCTTTGTCCCAGAAGTCCAGTTTGGGGCTCAGGGTGGCCCCTATTCCATGGGGTCATTTTGGAAATGTAGGCCTGGTTAGCATTTATGACCAAGGTTAAGGTGGATGCCAAGAAACCCCGGAAAGCAGTAACACTTTTATTTTAAATGGAGAATTCTTCTCTGAATTTCTTTCTAGGCAGTAAAAGAAACATGCTTTATTCTTTGCCTAAACACTTGACTCTTTCTACTCTCACAGTAACAGCTTCTCCTGAGGCGCATCCTGGGTAAGGCGGTGTTCCATTGCCTAGTGAGATGGCTCATTAGTCTACATTTCCTGCTGGGTCTATAATTCAGAATAGCCGCTCTGCTTTTGCTTTTGTTTTTAAGGGACTGAAAGATTTTAAGCGACAGGGGGAGGGTGTGGAGGGTGGAATATGCCTTAGACAACATCAATTTTTTTTTTTTAATTTCCATAGTTTTTCAAGATCTGGGTTTGGTTTTCGCTACATTTTCCAGAATCCTGTAATGAAGGACTAATTTAATCTAAAAAGCCAAATGAAGCAAATGTAAACTGATTGAGAGAGAGATGGGTTAATTTGGGAAGAGCAAGAAAACTTGCTATTGACTGAGGAAGGGTCCGGCCCAGGGAGATTGCAATGGAGCCTGGTGGAGCGTTCTCTCAGACACTCCCAGCCTGGGACAGGGACACCCCCTCCCAGCCCCTTCCTGCAGACCAGGAGGCTGACTTTGAATAAACACCTTGAGGAGGTGATTGGAAGTCTGTTGGGCAGCTGGGTCTGCCACAAAGATCTGGTAAGCTCCAACTTTTGGGGGACCACTCTCAGACTCCCAGACTCCCACACACCTCCACTTGGGCTGCCTTGTGGGTTCTGAAACTTGATTTTCTGAACGTCCAAGGAACTTGTGTTTTGTCTGGTGTGGGAAAGGTACAAAGAGCCATGAGTTCTTGGAAGTGGACTAAGAGAGGCCTTCAAAATAACTAAGATATTTCCCAGGACTTGTATAGAAATGATTCTGAACTTTAAGTCAAGAGGGCTTCCTGGTCCATATGTTCGAAGGATGTTTGGGGCAGGCAGAGTGAGCCGAGAGCTTGTAGGTGCAGAGCTGGCCTTCTGGAAATCCCTTTGCACAGCCAACATGCATACTGATCCGTAAGCATTTCCAGGGCCGGGTTCTACCCAGGCTGAAGGGAAGACTTTAGTGAGCTCAGGAGTGTCCTTGATTTGCAGAGGCCCATTGGTGAGGGCTGGGCTCACTGTGTTGAACTTAAAATGTGGTGGGCTGTCATTGGATATTTTGTTATCCCACACTCTCAGCCTCTGTGAATAAAGTTGTTTTTACATTAACCTCTCAGTGACTGGTTCAGTGGATTACTAGGGGGAAATAAACAAACAGTGTAATAGGAAAGAGGAGACTGGGATTACAGTCGAGAGCCATGCGGCAGCACGGGAGGCTCCGGCTCCTGAGAGGAACAGGCTGAGGGGGGACTGGGGGACCCAGTGCCCCAAGGAGTCTGGACGCCAGAAAGGAAGTTGAGTACTTGAGCTGTGTTGGGTGTTTTAAATTTTTCTTTTTCTTTTGTTTGATATGCTGTCATGTTCTTCATTGATGACCACTATTTTTTCAAGAATCAAATAATTTAATACTACTATTTGAAAAAGGTTGTGTTTAGACTTAAAATTCAAAGAAGTATTGTATGAACATTATTTTTGAGGCACAGAGAAATGCAAGAGTATGTGTGTACTTTGTGTATTTATACATACATGAAGGCGATTCTATTCAACCCTCCCTCTCCCCAGATTTAGAAATGCTAAGGAAAATGGATTTTGGAGTGATTTATGTAATTCTGTACATGTTTCTTCCTACTGAAGAAAAAGAGGGGATTTGGGCCTTATTGACCCAAACAGTTGCTCTAATGCCCATACTTATCATTGGCTCAAGATTATACATCGGTGAGACCAAGAAATGGTCTGTACCTTTAATTAAAACAGAATCTTAGCTCCATTAAGAGAAAACCAGAAGCAAGCTTATGGTTCTGCTTTTATACAACCAGTTCAAGGTTTGCATCTCTTCTCTCCTCTGAATGAAGTGATCTTTGCTCCAAGCCCTATCTCTTTCTCTCTCACACACGCGGATTAATACACTGATCATAACAGAGGATTTGAAGGCACATGTATACTGGTAAGTGTGTATACATACATATATATATGTACACACATGCATGTTATGGTGTATACATATACATATGTATGCCTGTGTATGATATATGTATGCACACCTACATGTATATGTATATGTTAGAGATATGAACTCCCAGAAATACACCCTTTTTGCATATACATTGGAGTTGTTGGGTCCTTTCACATTAGCCCAAACATTGATATTATTGAAAGGTTTTATTTTTCTGTATAATTTTCTACAATTTTGTTTTCCTATACAGTTCAAGCTAGGGACAGTTTATTTGTTTTTGTTTTTTGCATTATTGTAATAAAACTAACAAAGACTTTATAAAGTAATCTTGGAAGATGAAGCCACTTTGAGAACTTGGTCTCTACAATTTTTACTAGGACAGAAAACTTTGCAGAGGTCTCCTGCTTTGTGTGGCTTTGGGAATTTGCCGGCTTTGTAGGAGCCAGTGTTCTCCAGGCTCCCAGCACACCCTGGGAGAGTTCAGAACCCAGAAAGCCTGCTTAGACCTTTTCAGAAATGCCATGTTCTCTGATATGCAGTCACAGTGTGTATCCCTGGGTGGGTTACAGAATCAGCCCAGACCCAGAGCCCACCTGCCAACAGGAGGCTGTTGCTCATGTCACAGAAGTAGGGGACAATCTCAGAAGCCAGCTGCACCTTCAAGTGAGAGAATTCAGCAAGTCAGGGTCTTGTGCCTTACCTCCTTCACGGTGGCTGGATTCTGGCTTCCATGAAGTAAAGCCTTTTTCACAAAGTAGAAAATACAAACTGTAACAAGCACAGTTTATTATTAAGAATAAAGAACATGAGCTTGTTGGGAAAGTAAAATTCTTTTGCTTTTTAAAGTAATTTAAAAATATAACCTGAAGAGCCAAATGGAGAGTTCTCCACCTTGCCGGTCTTTGTCCAGAGTTCCTAAGGCCCAGTTCTCCTGGGTTCACGGTGACCTGGAGAGGCCAAGAGACAGGCAGCATTTTGCCTGGCACGGATGAGGCCCTGGGTTTCATCCTCAGGGGAGAGAGAGAGAGAGAGAGAGAGAGAGAGAGAGAGAGAGAGAGAGAGAGAGAGAGAGAGAGAAATTGGTGGGGTCTTGGCTGAGTGGTGGTGGGGGTCTGTCCCTTCAAATGGCATCCAAACACTAATTGCCCTGGGGACATCAGATGTGGGGCTCATAGGCCAAATATGGATGGGAGGGTCTGAGCTCAGGATCTGCACTGTGGGGATGCCTGGCAATCTAGGGGTACACAGGCAACTCAGGTGTCTCTGTTTACTCTGACAGAGGGGACTGAGGCATAAGGGGAGATGGCGGGGCAAAGATTTGGCTTGGACCACTTACCTATCAGGTGTGAGAAGGGATGTCCTGGCAGAGAAGGGAAACTCACTAGGGCAATGAAGAGACCAAGGGGAGGGACTGTTTACAGGGCGGGGAAGGACAGGGACACAGGTACCAACCAGCAAGGGGAAGTGCTCTGTCACACCCTCTCCCACCACCTCGGCCTGCAGCAGGCCCACCTTCGGATCCAGAGCAGGAGGGAGCCCGGCGCAGTACCCAGCCTCACACTGATGCCTCTCATTGAGTGACACCTGTCAGAGACCAGCTAGAGGGACCCTGGATAACACATGGTCACAGGGGTCAGCCTGAGGGGTAGATGGGCTGAGAAGGGACCAGTGTGTGGGTGGGGAAGGGTGCGTCCTTAGGCTCATGTGGTGGCTGCTGCCCAGATATCGAGGGGCAGCAGGCTGCCGGTGGCATGCAGAGGACAGGCTCTCCCAGAGGTCGGCTTCCTGCAGGAGGCAGCTCCAGACCTGGTCTGTTCCTCTTAGGTGGGTGGGACCAGGGCCTGGACTTGACCTCGTGGTCTTGCCCCCACCCTGCCGTCTCTGTCCTCAATCTCTGCAGGGGAGACACATGCCTCGGCTCAGGTCGTTGAGCATCTAAGGCAAGGCGTTCCTTGCTGCTGGCCTTCTGGATGTGACGTGTGCCCACCCTTGGTGGGGGCCCTGTATCCCTGATGTTCAGCTCTGTCTCTTCTGTGCAGCAAGAGATATTTTAACCCTTCTGGTGCCCCAGGCATCTGCCCTGCCAGGTACTGGCCACCCCCCACTGACCTCCTACCCCCACTCTTCCAGGTCTGGTAGACACACCTCCCAAGATGGGGAGGCCCTATCATTGGCATCTTATTGATTCCTTATCATTCAGTACTTGGTGTTTGGTGGGGTGGGGAGAGGCCAGTCACTGGGGGCCTCTGCCTCATGGTGCTGTCCTGAGCATCCACTGGTTTGACAGGCCCCCCCCACCTCCTGCCTGGGTGGTGGTCAGAGTGGAACTGGTTGACATCTGGCACACAAGAAGCACTAATGGATGGTGGGTCTAGCACTGTATACAGACAGAGCCTCCAATCTCTGTCTGGGACTCTTACTTCAGCAGCAAAACCCTGTACAGCCACTCCCCGGGTGTCCTGTGGCTCTTGGGCAGCAGCAGCTTCTGGACTCCTCTCCACTCCTGCGCCAGGGCTGCGGTCCACTTCACCTCTCACTGCACGGCTTCACCTCGGAGCTGATCTGACTGTTGGAATCCAGAGCCAAGAGCAAAATAAGCTGCCACTCATGATGGAGGGACAGCAGAGGACAGCAGACATGGCCGAGGGCCAGACAGACGCCAGGCTGCAGGACAGAAACCCCACCATGCTTCCCGGCTCAGCCCGGGGCCCAGGCACTCAGGGGGCACTTCCCAGGTGGGGCTGTTGGGCCCCTGTGAGCTCAGGGCCCTTGAGTGGATGGGACTCTTTGCTTCTCCCCAGCACAGAGGCTGTTCCTGTGGGCCTTGGGAGCTGCCGTCCCCTCCTGGGAGAAAGGGACCAGAGGAGGAGCAATTTTCTCTTAAACCCTTGCATTTCCTGGCCCGCCTTATAAAGTGTAAAGAACATTTCTTTTAAATGCTGCAGCTAAATATAGCAGGGGCTTGGTCAGCTGGAACATTTTTAGAAAGCACATTACAAATCAGGAA